GCGCAATGCCAAGAGGTGGCGGGGATCTCGTCGGCTGCTCCGAGGGTCCACCCCCCACCCTCCGGTGGAGCCCTCCGCGCCGCGCGCGGCGAGGGAGAGAGACTGAGTAAGGGCCTAAGTGAGGCTTACAGCAGTCTGCATCGCCCTTAACCCTTTCACGGGGGAGAGGGAGGGGGGCACTGTGTCATCTCGGCAGCACTGCGGTGTCAACCCTTTTGCTTTATTGGTCGCTGAACGATCGTTTTTTCGAGGCTCGCTTCGTCCGGGGGGCAACCAGGGCCTCCCGCGCCCCGCCGCGCCACCCCCGCCTGACAAAGTGCGGGGCGCGGCGGGGCGAGGCAAGGCGAGGCCAAGGTTCTGATTCCTTTTAAATTATCCCTGTTTTGTCGCCGGGGGTGTCTGGAAAAGGGAAAGGGGAACGGCGCGGCGGGGTTGCGGCGCGCGGCGGGGCCGGGGAAGGCGACCTTTTTCCTCAGAGGACGTATATCATACCTCGGCCTTCCCTGCGCGCCGCGCCACGTTTTTGCGTTGAGCAATTGAGGCGGATGGAAGGAGATGGGGGTTGGGGGAAGAGGGGGCGGGGGTAACAAGGTGCAGCCAGGGGAGAGGCGAGCAGGGAGGGAAGGAGTGGCATATTTGATCAATTACAAACTTGGTCGGGTCGGACCAGCGGAAAAACGCCTCGTCAAATTCGGTAAAAAAATAAGAAAAATAAGAATGATTAATTTTGCTATTGGCGAAAAGAGTTGCAAGCTAAGAGGGTTACATTTTGAAAGGGAATTTCTATAGGTTACTGTAGCTCTGCTTTGCCGCGCTGCCGAAGTAAATGACGGTGACGGCTGCTGCTTCTTCCTCCTTGGGTCTCGAGACTGGGACCGGGACCAGCTGTGTCCGTCCCGGTCCGTTCGTCCAGACGGCTCTGCGCCGTGTTCACGTCAGGGGCCCGAGGAGCACGGCCATGCGGTGCTCCTTCATTCTTCTCTCTTTCTCGTCACTCTCTCTGTCTCTGTCTCTCTCCCTCCCTCTCCCTCATTCTCCCGCTCCCTCTGCCCCTCCCCCTACTCTCCCTTACAAATGGCGGTAAATATTTAAACACCCATCGATTCCGGGCGGAGAGTGGACCTGGGCCTGCCGCTAGTGGACGCACTCAGGGGGCGCGCGCGCCCCGGCCCGGGCGGGAAAGGTGGGAGAGCATTCCATCAGCCAGGTGCATCTGTCAATCCCAAGACGCTGAGGGGTGGGGTGACGGACGGACGGACGGACGGACGGGCGCTCAGACAGACAGA